ACTAGAGCAACTGTAAACATTTTACGAATAACGTGTGTCTGGAAGTCAGCATTTGGGCGGGAGAGTCAGAGCCAGACCAGCTCATCTGGGTGATTCTGTGTCAGTGCTGGTGCTAGGCCTCATTTTTCCCGGCCCCTGGCTCCTATAGAAACACACAAGGATACACACACACTCACATACTTGCTCCCTCTTAACATGATCCATGTTAATAAAGCAAACACAACTAATCAGTACTTTTGTCCATCTTTCCAGTATTTTCTGACTAAAGTTCACAATGGATTAGAAATGCTTGTGGTACAAAACTGTGTCACTGAGAAGCTTCCTACCTAGAAAATATTTGTGTGACTTTTCCATAATTTTATTAAAAATGAACCTGTAAACCAAAACAAGATTGGACCACTTCAGATCCACTAGAATGGCTATCATAAAAAAGATGGACAATAACGAATGTTGGCAAGGATGTGGAGCCACTGGATCCCTCATACTCTGCTGGTGGGGATGTAAAATGATGCAGTTGCCTTGGAAAACACTCTGATAATTCCTGGAAAGGTTGAATAGAGTGATCATGTGATTCAGCAATTCCCCTCCCAGATATGTAACGAAGAGAACTGAAAACACATCTATCTAATACAAAAAAACTTGCACACAGGTGCTCACAGCAGCATTATTGACAATAGCCCAAAAGCGTAACAACCCAATGTCACCAAACTGAGGAAGGGATCACCAAAGTGTGGTACATGCACACAGTGGAATATTATTCAGCAACAAAAAGAAATGAAGCAACTGATACATGACATTGGGGGGCATATCAATGGCAAGAATAAACCTTGAAAACATTATGTTAAATGAAAGAAGCCAGACCAAAAGGCCACAAAGTGTAAGATTTCATTGATATAAAATGTTCAGCTTAGGCATATCTATGGGGTAGAAAGCAGAGCAGTGATTTCCTGAGTTGAGGGAGGGCACCGATGGGTATGTTTCTTTCAGGGGTGATAAAAATGTCCTGGTGATAGTCATAATATTTTGTGAATCACTCAAAACCCTTGACTTGTTCACTTTAACAGGGTGGATTTCATGGTATGTGAATTACATCTTAATTTAAAAATGAACCTGTATGAGATATACATAATAAAATTATAGAAATACATAGAAATGAAACTTTCCCCTATACTCCTTCTCCCCAACTTTGCCTCCCATTTTCAGTCAAACTAAGACTTTGTTATGCAAAGTGTTACTTTTGTACTTCATATGGCCTATTCATTTTTTCATCATTGGAAGAAAAAAAATTTTCCAAACTGACTTTTCATGTAAATAGCAAACCCAGAAGTCATAAAGAAAAGATAACAACTACATAAAACTTAAATTTTTTTTTATATAGAAGACACCATAAGTTAAAAAAAAATTGGAAAAAATATAGAAAACATTTATCAGAAAGGTTAAGGATTAAGGATTCTATACATTGATTTAAAGACAACACGAAAAAAAAATGGACAAAGACGTCAACCTCATTAGCAGTCATCCTTTTTTGTTTGGCAAAAATCAAAAGGACGTTCACTCCTACTGGCAAGAACAGGAGGAAGTTGCTAAAGGACATGGGAATTGCTGCAGCCTTTGGGGAGAGGATTAGGCAGCATGTAATGAATGAGCATAACCTGTAACCCACTTCAGGAACTTTAACCCATAAAAATAAAAGCACCACTCCTAAATATAGTCACAAAAACATTTACTGCAGCGTTTATAAGAGGGGGGGAATTGGAAGCCACTGGGATGGCTGTTTAGAGAAGACAGGTGAATAAATTGTGGTTTATGGGACTGATGGATGCTAAAGAAGCCCCATGTGATGGACCTACAGCATGTATGCAGGAGATAGCTGGGTGGAAAAGCAAGTCACCGAGTAATTATACTGTAAATGCCATGAAAGTAAAACTCAAGCCTCTAGAGACGTGAATATGTGTTTGTATGTTGATGTAGGCACAGGGAATTTGGTATGTCAGGAACTGGGTATGCTGTTTGATGATGATGATGATGATTATTATTTTTTAAAGAAAGCAAGTTTAAAAAGCTGATTGTGGATAAAGGATAGTATTGTGCTAACTTAAGCTTTGTTCAGAGCTAGGGAATCAGTAGAAAGGATGAGAGAGGTCAACGCTGGTGAGCTGAGAGAGTTAACAGGGCAGAGCTAGAACGTGTTAAAGCAGGCTAACACCTCTTTTGCTCCTCACAGAGCTGAGCTGCAGTACTGGACAGGCAGGCGCCTGGCTGAGGTGAGAACTCTTTCTGGCTTCTGACTCTGATCTCTCCTTGGGAGAGAAGTTACTTGGAAGAGAAGTTACCTGCACCTTACACAAGAGCAGACTGGGGCAGAATCAGCCCAGTGCACATTGGATTCTCCTGGATCAGTGCAGGGAAACGAGGTATGACTCACGTTGTAAAGGATTTGCCTTCAGTGTCATGACAGGGCACCACACTCCCACCGGGTTCAAAGAAACTCCCGTAAGCAAGTTACGAACTCAAAGAGGAGCATGATGATGCGTTCCTGAACCAGTTCTTGGAAAACCTAATCTCCTCTACTCTAGGAAAACTAACATGTGAAACTGGGAAGAACCTTAGCTTTCCTGTACTGGTCCTGTCCTAAAGGTAATACACCAAGAGGGGCGAAGTATGATTTCTGAAATGGCACCGAACTTTGATAAATGTCACTTCTTCCACTGTTTAGATATGCAAAAACCCCAATTAAAAATAAGTAAACATGAAGTATTTCTTAAAGCAGTGGCATTTTTCAAGGGGAGACTAGTCCTGTTCATGGCTATTTAAAAGAAATTTTTCTTTTTATTGATTTTTTACAGAGAGGAAGAGAGAGGGATAGATAGTTAGAAACATCCATGAGAGAGAATCATCGATCAGCTGCCTCTTGTACACTCCCTACTGGGGATGTGTCCGCAACCAAGGTACATGCCCTTGACCAGAATCAAACCAGGGACCTTTTAGTCCACAGTCCAATGCTCTATCCATTGAGCCAAACCGGTTTCGGCTCATGGCTATTTTTATAGGTTGAATGAATCCTCCTTTAAACTGATTCGTGGAGAACCGAAAAGCTCTAAGGCAGACGAAAGATACGGCCCAAACATAAGGAAAACCATGGGCTCTTGTTGGTGGCATTTCGTTCCAAGAAGTGGCTTTCAGCTCTTTTTTGAGATAGTAGAGAAATCCCAGAGCTTTATCTGAAACTGACAGTTCAGTGAGCATGTGCAAATGTCATAAAAACACAGCCCGTGTAGCCTGACGGCAGGGCTCCTCCTGAGGGAGGGACAAAAAAACCCCCAAAGATTTGGAGGCTTATTGCTTTTTTTTTGGGAGATTAAACCACTCTGTGGACAAACCAGACCCAGGGACGAGGCCTCTGCATCGGGGGCGCTTATGGAAAGCTTCAGGGGGAAAGACGACAACCTCACAGAAGTGACGGGAGGGAAAGGAGTGAGCGAGGGGAGAGAGAGCACCACCTCTGGCCGTTACCACAAGACTTCCGTCCTCTCAGGCTAGAGACACAGACAGATATGCCTCTGGCTTGGCGCAAGCCCCCACCCAAACCTTAGGGGATAGGATACAGTGAGTAGAAATAGTTCCCATTCAAGTTTCCCTTAACTCAATTGAAGCCTTTCTCCATCCCCCCCCACCCCCCCTCCCCCCGCCCCCCGGGCAAAATAAACAGAGGGCTATCCAGCAAAACAAGGCAGTGACCCCAGGTTATTTCTGCGGTTGGCACCGAGGGCTTTGGAATCCATTTTCAGAACATGCCCGAACTAAAGCCTCGGGTGCTTCTCGCCAAGCTTGCAGGGACAGCACGTGGCTCTGTGAAAAGCCACCTCACCCGCGTGGCATTCCCGCTGCCTCAGCTGGGTTAGCATCCCTGCTTGACCAGAGGCTGGCATCCAGGGAGCGCAGGCCTCCTGAGGACCATGCTCTGCCTCCTTCTGTGTTTTCTGAATGAGCAGCTCTGAAGAGGGACTTCTCCCTGGACTGGCTCACTCTAGCTCTGAGTGAGGTGGCAGACTCAGGCTGGCTCCTTATCAACCGGTTAGGCAGTGCCAGATTGTGGCACAGACTCCCTCCTCTCTTCCCAGGGGCCCCTGAGGTCACGGGGGGAGGGGAAAACATACTGGGTGTCTGTTCTTTCTCTCCTGAGCCACGTGAGTCTCGTGGACGATGTGGCTGCTGCTGTGCCTGCTCCCTCTCCCAGCCTTGGTGAGACATGGATGGGGTCTGGCAACTTTTATCTACAAAGTGCTTTGGGTTCAGAGTGGACGGAAACTGGCAGTCCACCTCCATGGCTCCCCAAAGTAATGTCTCCCCATTGGTGGGGAGCCTGGGGAGTGGTGTGTTCTTAAGTTACGTGCGACTGATTACAGCGCTTCTGCAAGGACCATGAGCCCAGAAGGGATGGCGAGCTGTCCCTCCGCAGCGTTATGGACATGGGACGGCCCCAGGGCCTTCTGTTGATAAGGAAAATGTAAAGGGAGCTAGAAAAGCACTTGTTTAGTGTGGGTTTATCTAGTTTTAATTGTGTGTGTGTGTGTGTGTGTGTGTGTGTTTTTAAAGTGTTTCTATATTTCCCTTCACACAGAAGGGGTGAGGAGCAAGGACGAAGGTGATGGGTGCAGCATCTTTTCAGAGCAGAGGGGGAAGGAGCAAGGGAGGTCTGAAGGGCCCCGGCATGCTTTCATGCTTTTGTTTCCATAAGCAGTTTGCACCTGCTAGTTGACTAGTAAACCTAGATAAATTCCAAGCGCTTTCTAGGACAAAAGTGATTAATTTGGATCCAGTTTGAACCATCCATGAAAAGGGAAGGCAAGACCCTTTAACCGTAACCTTTAATCTTGGCAAATAAGAACACCCTGTGAGTGGTGGTGGTGGTGGTGGTGGGGGGGGCAGGGAGAGTCCAGGTAAAGGACTGAGAGCGCGAGAGGGGGGGGGGCATGCTTGAAGTGAGGCGGGTTCCCTACCTCCTGGCCCCTGTCCTGCACAGGACACGACTCACTGTCTGCTTCCGAGAACGATCCGGATTCGTCACTGGAGTTGGTTCCGTAAGACTGCTCACATTTAATTTGGGGTCGGGCTTGGTTGTACATTCCATCTCCCATCAGGCCTGGCTCCTGATGTTCTGTGGCAAGGAATCTGGCTCCCTGGGAACAGGGTGAGGAGGAGAACTCGCAGAGCGGGAGGCTGCAGGGCGAGCCCCCGCTCCCATCCTCCGCGTAGGAGTAGGAGGAGCAGGAGCTGGAAGTCCTGGTCCTGGTCTCCAAGGGGGGCGAGCGCGGGCAGACCTTGATTGGCACCGGGCAGCTAGTGTTGGGCCGCATCCTTCCTGGCAAGTGGTCGGCCATCAGCCCCCCGTGGGGGTAGGCCTGCGAGCTGGGGAGGGACTGGCCGGCCCCTACCCACAGACCCTTTGGCACCGGCGGCTCGGAGAGGTCTTTGTCCAGACTGCTTACCCCGGAATACGAATGCACCGAAGTGCTGCTCACTGGGTCACAAGCGCTCGAGGAGAAGATGACACTTCTCCGGTCCAGCTCTCCTTCCTGCTTACAGAGCGCCTCCACCCCGGGGCCCTTGAGGGGCGACCCCAGCGGGAGGCCGGACGCATCCTTCTGGCCCATGTGGGCCTGTCCGTAGCCCCCCGCGAAGGGGGCGTAGTCAGTTTTAAGGTCACCCTGAGTGATGCCCTTGTCGAAAGGGCACGCGGAACTCCTGGCAAAGTGCTGCTGAGACGTGCCGGGCAGGCCAGACAGCTCGGCGGCACTTTTTGTTGCGCCGAACAGAGACCTCAGGCAGGAGGGCGAGGCCACCAGGGTCCTGGACCTCTCCAGGCAGGCGGCGCCCGAGGGGGGCGCGGGCGCGGGGCTGGGCTGCTTGCGGTCCATCTCCACGTCCCCGGCTCCTCGGTCCTTGACCTCAGGCTCGTCCCCGGAGGACAGGCAGAGCGTGATGCTCTCTTCCTCGTTCTCCTCGCTGGGAGGCTCGCTCTTGATCTGCCCCGCGGCGGCGGCGGCGGCGGCGAGCCCGGGCTTGAGGCTGTGGCCGGAGCTCTCCTCGCTGCATGTGCTTGCAAACCCTGAGGGACTGTGGGATGACGCGTTGCAGACGTTCTTGGTGCATGCGAGCTGGTACTTTTTGTATCGCGGGTACTGCGTCAAGGCGTCCTTGTCGGAGCTCTCCTTGGTGTCCGCGGGCCCGTCGGGCTCAGGCACCAGCAGAGCCTCTTCCTTCGGTGCTCCCGGGACGACGGCGGCGGCGGCCATGGCCTCGAAGCTGCCCGGGTGTGGACGCGCCTGGTCCCTGGGGCAGGCCATCTTGGCCGTCTCCGACTCCATGGTCTCCACCTCTTCCTCTTCCTCCTCCACCTCCTCCTCCTCTCCCTCGGAGTTCTCCGGGTCCTCGTGGGCGCGCGGGCAGGCCGCGCCGTCCTTGCGGCGCACGAACAGGCCATCCTCGCTGTTCAGCAGCTGCGTCTGCAGGAAGCTGAAGCAGGAGTCCTCCAGGTTGTGCATGCGCAGGAACTCGGCGCAGCGGATGACCTCGCGGATGTTCTCCCGGCTGAGCAGCAGCTTGGCGGTGTAGGCGAACTGCAGCAGCGGCCCGAAGCCCCTGGCCGTGACCTGTAGCACAGACAGGGGAAAGGGCCATGAAGTTCAAGTTACCGTCAGCACCGCTATTGTCCCGAACCCCTCAACTGAAGCCAGATAACCAGACGGGGCTAATGTCCCAGAACAAAGACTGCAAAAGGAGCAGCTAATCTGTCCCGGGTCAGCAGCGATTCCGCGTCTGATAATGAGCAGCCTGCCTCGCGCAGGCGGCTGCTCGGTTGCATCAGGGGCACACAGCACTGGGGATCACCAGGGTCAAGTAGCTGCACCAGACGACCACGGGTGCAGTGTTTGCACTAATGAAACACCCTGGCGATGCATGGTGACAATGGGACTCCTGTTCAGGTCCCTCCCAGCCGGCCCTGTGGAGGGCCCTGCTACTGATAGATCCTCCCTTCCTCCAGTTTATGGACTGACATTAAGCCCACCTGTGGCCAGATATTCCTGAGCTCTGAACCACCAATCAGCACCTGCCAAATACCCTAAGCCCCCATTCCTAAGTCCCTAGGTCCCTAATCACCAATCAGTGTGTGCTGAGTGCCCTAAGCCCCGCCCTCTATCCTTAAAGGTGCTTGTACACCCAGCTCTCGCTCTCTTCCGCCCCTCTCCGTGGAAGCAGCCGGCAGGGGTACTCTTCCCTCCTGTGTGTGTCCTGCCATCCCGATCTCTGTTTGGTCTACCTTCTCTATTTAATCTATCAGCTACATCAGGGACTCCCTGACACACTGGTTGCAGCTGACGGGAGCCAAAAGACAGCATTCCAGTTTGCTTGTGGACCTCATAACCCATAGGGTGGCCTTGTTCAAAACGGAAAGCCTGTAGGGTTTCAAAATAGTCTTTCAAGTAATGGGAGACATGAAAAGCGACTCCCGGCTCGCTCATTCATCACGGCTTCTAGTTGGGACTTTCCAGTCATCACGTCATACCCGATCTTACAAGGGTATTGGAGATGATGACAATCCAAAGCCGTGTTTGGATTTCTTTCTCCGCAGGAAATGGACTCCCAGCCCACAAAGGATGGGGGTTATGGAACTAAACAAACTGGCTGTGGCTGGAAAGGCTGAAGCTGCTGAGTGGCACAGGGCAGGGGCCAGTCCTTCCTTAATGATCAGCAGCAGCTTTGCCACGCAGCTGTCTTTCCTGGTAAACCGGGGGCTAAGCCTGCTGTCATGTGCTGCGCATCCATTGTGTTTTACACAGATTGAAAATGTGCTATTTATGCACAGACACAGAAAATAACTTAGATAATTAGAAATACATTGCCCAAGGCCAATTGTTTTCTCTCTCCGGATGGAAGCAGATTAAACTTGCTGGTATGTGGGGCAGGGTTCCTCACCCTCTATGCCAGGGGTCTTCAAACTTCTCTCATTATGAGAATCACCTGGTGGAGGTGTTAAAACACAGTTTCCTGATAGCATATCTTATAGTTGGGATCCAGGAATCTGTGTTTTAACAACTCCACCAGGTGATTCTCATAATGAGAGAAGTTTGAAGACCCCTGCAGTCTATGCAAAGCCAGGCATCCTTGAGGTTCTTGCAAGCACTGCTGACCCCACTGGGAGGGGCAGCAGTCTACAAGCTGAGATGCACAAATCAGGGTAATGTAAAAGAAGCCATTGTACAAGTGAAATATCTGCTAGGGGAAAAGGCGTAGAGCAAGAGGAACTGGCAAGCTTTGTGAACGACTTCCACATGTATTAAATTCACCACAGCACACAGAGCCAAAACTCGTACGAGGACTTATATCTGCTGTTCACGATCCAACTCGGACATCAGCTCCTCTGGGAGCCCTCTCCAAACCTCCTAGACAGAAGGAATGACACACCCTCGTAGCCCCACAGCCAGAGTGAGGCAATGTGGATCCTCCAGGCCAGCACTGGTTTTATATCGCTGCATTCTTTTCCGTAAGGGAAATTTCTTAGATGGGATTTTAATTATTAAGAATTTCGAAGGACTTTAAATAAAATTCTAAGTAAAAAAACTCTTGTCAGATAAGGAGTCCTGAGATATTTGGTTAAAAAAGAAATACAACAAAAGCCACGATTGTTAGCACCACATGATATTTTTACAAGGGAAATCATTGCCATTTCAGTTCTGTTATACTTAACTAGTGACCTGGTACATGAAATTTGTGCACATTAAAAGGGAATTAATTAGAGGAAATAATTTAATATTGCTATTTGCCCTTTCTCTATAATAGAAGTTTCAGAGATAAAAGAAAATTAGTAAAATGTATATGAAAACCTTCCTCCTGTCAGAGTCTGGGGCACACCATGGGACCCAGAGTCAAGTCCCTGCCCTTCCACATGCACCTCAAAATCACTAGAGACCCAGACCTGGCCGCCACCACTATCCCCCCATTGGGCTAGATCCAGACCTGGCCAGTCCCACCCTTGTCAAGCCCTGCTGGGCAGGGGGCACAAACTCAGGTGCCCTGGCCTGGTGCCTGGATAGTGGGCATGGCCTGAGGTCTCCCAGCCCAGACTGGGGCAGGGAGTGTGTCTTGAGGTCCTCCATCAAGCCCCACCGGGTGGGGAGGATGGCCGGAGGGTCCCTCGTCAAGCTCAGCCAGGCAGGGGGGTGAAGCCTCAGGTCCCCTGGCCCAGTACGGGGGCAGGAGGCGCAGCCTGAGGGTCCCTGTCAAGCCCCACCTGGTGGAGGGCACAGCCTGAGGTCTGGTGCTGGGGCGGGGGGGAGCAGCCTGAGGTCCCCTAGCCAAGCACCAGGAAGGGAAGCACACCTTGAGGTCCCTCACCAAGTACTACTGGGCTGAGGGTGTGGCCTGAGGTCCCTGTCAAGCTCTGCCGGGTAGGGGGAGGGTGTAGCCTCAGGTCCCTGGTGATTGCTCCTTATCAGAACTTGGCCTCAGCTGTGGGTGCAGCCATCTTTGTGATGGAGTTATGATGATTTAGCATATTCCCTCTGTATTAGATAGGATTGGGTCTATTTCTACCATAAGACAACAAGCTCCTTCAGTTCATGGATTGTTTAATTTCTCTTTGTAACTCTGCATCTAACTGGGGTCTCTCTAACATGATAAATGCCTGAGAAAACTTGCGTATTATTGAGTATGTCATAAGTCTAAATGTGCCTGTAACATACAACTACAGAAGCTGACAACCCTGCTTGGTAAGGGCAAGGCATCGAGTAAACCAACATACCAACTCTAACCAATGCATGCAGCACAGGCAACAGTCCTTATTTGTCCAGTCCCCTAGAATTAGTATTAAAAAGGAACTCATCTAACCTACAGTTATGTGGTCTACTAAGCTGATATCATAATAGATTCAACAAATGTAATACTGTCTTATTGCCATTTCTCTTAGGAAACTTTAAAAGGGATGCAAGACAAAGAATGTGTATTTATAAGTAACCAAAGACGGCAACGAGAATGTCACACGGCCAGTTCCTCGTTGTGACATAGCTCCACCACAGAGAGGAATGGCAGAATCAAGGCAGGGGTGACCCTCCATAAGTAAGCATCTCTGCTCTGCTCCTAGGCAATCTGCCAGAGGCTGCGTGGATAATGCACATTTTTAGTTTTGGCAGATGTGCTCACTATTCTGGAAGTGGGGAAAACGCAATGTTATTTGTGTTTTCTATACAGACCTCCTCATACTCTCATTCTTATCACCATCTCTCTTTTATTTTGATGCTCTTCGTCTTAGTAGGCCCCACCACCAACCCCCACTATGGTTGCTTTTAAAGGCAATTCTTAAATAAGTCATAGACACCCACAGGGATCACTGGACTGGTCCTGGGAGTCACCACTTGCCTCATGGCTGCAAGGAGCTAGAAAAAGCTTCTCCACTCTGGGAAGAGCTGATGCTTCAATATGTCAGTTGGATGAGGGTGCCTATGAGCACAGTCTCCACATCCCAAGTCAAATCACCAATGCTTTTGGACTTAGGAGCAGGATGAGCTTGAAGTGATCGTCAGATGGTCATGAAAGAGTCATGAGTAAAAACAGGGCTATACGCTGTCCTCCAAGCCCAAGGTCAGAGGAAATGGTGCCCTCACCATGCAACTTCAAGAGTTGGTCCATAACTGGCTCTTCTCCCACCATAGGTTTAATCCTGCTTTATCATATTCAATTGCTCAGCTTCTGTGTGCAGGCTCTGTCTAGTGAGTCAAAGTTCTCATTCTACCAAGCACCTCCTGGGGCCCATCACTGCGCTAGCTGGTTTCTATAATGCCCTGCAAGGCGACCATGATTGCCTTTTAAAAATGTTTTTTATTGATTTTAGAGAAAGGAAGGGAGAAGGAGAGAGATATAGAGACGTCCATGAGAAATATCGGTCTGCTGTCTCGTGCATACCTCTTACTGGGGATCAAGCCTGCAATCTGGGCATTTGCCCTGACCAGGAATCGAATAAGCAGCCTATTGATGCATCAAATGACATTCAACCAAGTGAGCCACACTGCTGGGCTGCCTTGTTTTGTAGTCAAAGAAACTGAGAAAGAGGTGAGGGAATTCATCCAAGTTCACAGAGCTGGGATTCCAATCCTAGAGCTGTGAGGAATGGATAAGAACAAGACCCAGCCATATGCTCATGAAATCTGCAATTCAGCTTTGTAGAAGAGGTATTAAAACAATAAAAAGTTAACTAAATCTGCAATTCAGCTTTGTAGAAGAGGTATTAAAACAATAAAAAGTTAACTATTAAGTCACAAGGTAAACCAATGATGGAAGGGTTCTCACACAATTACGTAATTAATTGTAAACTGAGAAATCCAGAGCAGCTTCAGAAGAAGAGGAAACTACTGAGAAGGAATCCCATGAACACTGGTGAGCAGGACAACCTGGAGTGCAATAAATTCCCGCTGTCTATGTCTTCTTTGTGTCACGGCTTGCTTTGATACCACGGGTACCTTCTGAACTGCCACAGGTGTCCCTCCCAGGAACCCATCTCTGGTGCACCTAGGCCAACTGTAACACCTCCAAGTGCACAAAACAGAAAGCAAGTGCCCATCACACACCTACAGCCAGAGGCTTTCTAAATATTGGTTTA